TGCCACTTTGCAATGATTGCAAAGCACCTTGTTGCCATCTTTCTCTTCCTTAAAATGAAGCTAAACTTTCGATCGGTTTACCTGATGGAAAGCCATTTTTTTGTTTTGCTTTTCTAGACTTACGCCTGGTCATGTCGTACTTGCTTACTAAATGCCGTGTGTGTAACTTGTGTAAAAAATGTGATGTAAGTCGTGCTGCCCGGCGCAAGGCTCTGGTGCTGCCTGGAAACGTTAAGAGAATTGTTAAGCGAGCTGCCAAATGGTGCCGTGGAATTCCCATCCCTAGTCAGGTGTACCCTTCAGTTCCAATTGACCCATATTTATGCTGCGTGCTCCCGTTCTCCCAGAGTCCACACTTTCCTGTGCTCTTTTCAAGAACATACCTAGCGAGGACACAAGTCAGTACTCGCGTTCTTGTGAATTGAGAAATGACCCAGGTGTCTCGAACCAGGGCACAGACAATACCTAACTACAGGAGGACTAGAAGCTGCTGCACTTTCACCCTCTGGGTTTTAGGCCTCATTTTTATGCCCCGTCGGCAATCACTGCCTTCTTCTAAGGCCCTCCATCCCAGATAATCAGAATCCAGCGACCCGGTTTCATTCCCCATCATCTCTAAACTGCTGACTAACCTGTTGTACTTGTGAACAGGGCCCAAACAGATGAAGAAGGAGGAGCTAGAGGCTAACGGAGAAGAAGGGACCAAGTACAGGAAGGAGCCGTCTCCTTGTCCCATCTGTGGGAAGGTGAGTTTGGTGTTAATGGTGATGCTGGAAGCCGCTCCAGTACTCAAGTGGACGTGCATGAAAATGCTACCTTCACACTGCAGGTCTTAATGCTTGTTTTCCCATCACCTTTAAAATGTGGCCTGTATCCGACCAATAAAGCGTTGTCACACACAGCAACATGGAGAAGTAGGTGTCCTGTTATGTGTTTCAGGGAAATCTGACTGAATCTGTCTGATCATCACCTGCTCACTAACCTCTATTGCAGTTTAAAGTCCTCAGTTTAAAGGGTTGTTTACTAAAGCTAAAATGCAAACCGTTTCCCTCATCCCAATGGTTCCTACTGTATAAGCCTTTTAACTAGGCCTGAATAAAGTTTGAATTGTTTATTTACAAACGTTCGTTTCTTGATTTCTCTCCACTGAGCATCGCTCTTGAAAAAGGTGAAATTTTCCATTGTTTTAGGTGGTAATTAAGACAATTTGGTAATAGAATTAGAAGATTTAGGCTTAAAATAAGAAGAAACCCCCTTGATTATCTAAATTTTATGTTTTAATATCTTATTATCTTACATTTTGGGCAAAAACCTCTTTCTATTGTCAGATCATTTTATCTTCTTGCCTATATCAATCGAAAATACAAACATTTTTGGAGAATTTTCCACATTTTTGTGTTAGTTGTTGCAGTGTTACTATCCCAGCTTCTGTCTTTTTTTGCTGTCTGTTGTCGTTTCCCGCATGACGGTGTTCTGTCAGATGAGCATACCTCGTCAGACCAGGACACCCATAGTCAATACACATGCACAAGGCATCAGATTTACGTTTATCCCTTTAGTCTTGCACAAAATATAGACTTTAAACTACCTTGATGGGTGTGTATCCATTTAGTCATGTACAAAAAAAACTAAGATGAGATCGCCATACGCTTCAAAAAACACCAAAAACTAAGTAATAAATAGTTTTCTTTATCATGACTAAAGGGATGCACACCTGTTGAGGTCGTTTTAAGTTTATTTTTCGTACAAAACTACAGATAAAGGGGTATTGACTATGGGTATGTTGTTCTGAGTGGGTATGCTCATCTGACAGAACAGAACAGAAAAATATGACGAATTTCATGCAAAATGATGTCAAAGTCGCGTCTAATCTTCATCCTCCTGCTTGAGTCTTATTCCAAAAGATGAGATACGAGTCAGATTCAGGAGCTAATGAAGGAGGTGAAAAGGACTTAATTAGACCGGATCACTGGACTCCAAAAGAGTCTGATTTTGGGCCTGCAGTGTGAACAGGAAGCGTTCTCAGGTGCTTTATCTGACGCTGCTGGTCTGTGTCCAGGTTTTCTCCTGCAGGAGCAACATGAACAAGCACCTGCTGACTCATGGGGATAAGAAGTACACCTGTGAGATCTGCGGACGCAAGTTCTTCCGTGTGGACGTCCTCCGGGACCACATCCACGTTCACTTCAAGGTGAAACTCCCTTATTAGGGTCATATCTGCGGTCAGGGAACAGAAAGGAACCCTTCCAGAATCTGCTGCGCCGCCATGTTCACAGCTCTGCTCTGCTTTTAGGACATCGCCTTAATGGACGAGCAGGAGAGAGAGGAATTCATCAAGAAGATCGGCATCTCGCCGGAAGACAGCGACGAAACGGACGAGGAAGACGAGGAGGACGATCCCGAGCATCACAAGTACAACTGCAAGAAATGTCAAGTAAGCTGTGCTTTGATAAAAAGCAAAAAAATGAGCGGTTCTGGGTGGGAGAAGCTAGCTGAATGAAAAGCAGACGAGGAAGGCAGTTTAAAGCGTTCAGTGCTTGACTGGAGTCACCTGCTTTTTATGCCCAGCTGTCGTTTGCCAGAGGCAAAGATTACCTGAAACACATCATGGAGCAACACAAGGAGAAAGGCCACAGCTGTGGGATCTGCAACCGCCACTTTGCACTGAAGGCAACGTACAACGCTCACCTGGTCATCCACCGAGAGCAGCTGCCTGACCCCGCCGTGCAGAAGTAAGGCGGCGCTGGCCGTTAAACACAGACGGCAAAAAGTCAAATCCAAGTTTGTTTTTTTTTTTTTTTAATGAGTCGCTTTCCCCTTGATTTGAGTGGTTAAGCAAGACAATCTGCCAGTGGAATAAGATTAATGTTTAAATAAGGGAAAAGCAAATCCATCATCTTATTTCAAAGGCTTAATATCAAAGTTATTTTAAAGTTGTAGGGAAGTCATATTTAAATGTCAAATCATTCTGGCTTAAACATGTATATAAATGCACTCTTTATCAGACGATATTGTCCCAAAATTTGGAAAATTTCTATTTAAAAAATAAAATCTTTTTTTTTCGTTATCTTCTGCAGGCCAGTTAGTTATACGTCAGCTTGTACACCTAAATTCGTCCAATCATATATCAAAGATCATCTGTCAATCACATTTTTTTGGGTCATAGCATCTTGATTCATATGTCGCAGCTAATATACGCAACTGTTGAAATAAGAAATAAGAATAACTTCCTTTCCCATTGAGTTCCGTCCCAGTGTTCACGGGGATGGACATCTGTGTCTTCAGCAGGCATAGAGCTAACAGAACTGGCAGCGTTGCGAGGCAAGGGCTCAAACATGTACGGCTGGAAGCCTTCTACACCAAACCAAGCTTCTGCCGCCCTGGCGTCCTCTTCCACAACATCTTCATCCCCACTTTCCTCCTCTAAATAAACATTGTATGACGGAGGAGACTCATCCACGACCTCCGACTCTAAACTCTCCTCCTCTTGCATGTTTCCTCTGTCCATAACGTTCCTTGACAGTGTTGTTTGTAAGTCACCAATTTAGTGCTACTTGGTCCCAATGGAATTTCCCATTGGGAACCTACTAGCAATAAGTTACTAACTGGTTAGCAAGATGCTTCCAAAAACTGGCCACAATCAAACTTGCTTGCAAACCTTCCGCCACAACAATCCCGCCCCCTTGATAAACGACCAATCACATTCACTTTATTCAATCGGTTAAAGTCATGCACCACTCGGGAGAATTTGGAACAGCAACGGTTGGAACGGCCGTTTTTCTACGACTTTAAGGCAAAAATACTTTTTTTGTAGTTTGTCTTATCTACCTCCTTATAATAGGGAAAATAAATTTGTTTTAAGGAACCTGTAGTTATTTTCCGCTCAGTGTTTCAGTGTAAAGTCTCCTGTTCTCCAGGTACATCCATCCCTGTGAGATGTGTGGTCGGATCTTCAACAGCATCGGCAACCTGGAAAGACACAAGATTATCCACACAGGTGAGCGACGAGTTCTTCCTCGCTTTCAACATAAATGGCCGAACTTCCTCTGAGGTTATCTGGAACTCCTCTACGTGTAATCTGACATCCATTTGGAAGGTCATGAATGCAGCACCAGCCACAGCATTAAAATGTAACAGTGTTTAGAAATCAAAAGTTTGCCTTAGTGAACGCGCAGCTAATGGGTTTTTATTTGTTTGTTTGTTTTATAACAGCAGCGCTCGATGTTAACCATTGCCCGATCGCCCGGGGCAAGTAGTATTTATTGTCGGGAGAGTACAAATTTCATTGCATTTGCCCGCCGGCCAAGTGCAATGATCGCAAGAAAAAATTATTTATTACTCAAAATGACTTTAAAATCCCCGACATTCGCTGAAAACGACCCACAAGCTTTACCGGCGCCATCTTTGTTGTTTTGTACACATTCTCGCATGATTTGAAAAAGCCGCATGATTTTCTGCTAGATGGCGTGATTCAGCTCTTGGGGAGAGAATTCTTCAGCTGGATGATGAATTTAATCTATACTATAATACATGCTAGATTAAAAATGATCAGTCAGGGATTAGGAAAATAATAATAATAACTGTATGCGATCAGTGTAAATATGTCTATCATACGGCAGTCTTCTGTACAGTGGTCATACATTAAAAAATTTTTAATTAAACTTTTTTCTCTTAGACATTGGAGTGGTGCATTTAAATGTTATAGAGCTAAACATGTTAAATTGGTTAGTAGTAGTGTAAGTTGTCTGTCAAGTTTTTTTTTAGATTTTTAACATTACAATTAATATTTTTCCAAGCACACAACAGTTTAAAGCAAAGTTTAGTTTGAAAAGAATGTGCAGGAAGGATTGAAAAGCATGTTAACACGGTAATGTAGGCTTGAGTTCATNGCTAGATTAAAAATGATCAGTCAGGGATTAGGAAAATAATAATAATAACTGTATGCGATCAGTGTAAATATTTCTATCATATGGCAGTCTTCTGTACAGTGGTCATACATTAAAAAATTTTTAATTAAACTTTTTTCTCTTAGACATTGGAGTGGTGCATTGAAATGCTATAGAGCTAAACATGTTAAATTGGTGAGTAGTAGTAGTGTAAGTTGTCTGTCAAGTTTTTTTTAGATTTTTAACATTACATTTTATATTTTTTCCAAGCACACAACAGTTTAAAGCAAAGTTTAGTTTGAAAAGAATGTGCAGGAAGGATGGAAAAGCATGTTAACTCGGTAATGTAGGCTTGAGTTCATTATCTGACGCATGCATATACACACCAGGAACCTGGAAACTTACTGAATTACAAAAAACATTTAAAAAACAAACATGTTTCATTGACAAAAATGAATATTAGGAACTATATTTATCAAACATTATAACAGGGCAAGTAAAAATTGTTTCTGGGCAAATTAAATGTGAAAGCCACTTCCCTAAAGGGCAAGCGGTAAAAATCCTTAACGTCAACCCCTGAACAGGGTTTCCGAACATTGAAATTACATTAAATTTTTAAAGTCATAATTTTAAATCTAATTTTAATTAATTAATGGGATATTCTTGCATATTAGACAATTTAATTGGATGTTTAATATCTGCATCATGTATTAAAGGTACTGAGGACGATCTATTATTTCTGGGTGGATCATCTAAATAAGTGGTCCTCCTAATTGTCAATCATTCTGTTGAAATATTTACATAAGGCCGCCTACGTGCTTGTTTCGTTAGCTATCTTTTTCTGCACATGCGCACTTTCACCTGTATATCTCTGGTGAGCTGCAGTTTCAGACAGTCATTGAAGCTCACCTTTCTCACTGCGTTTTTTTGAAAATGGCCGAGTTCGTTATAGAAAAGGTGTCTACGAAGTGTATGAGAAGAAAAGAAAGGCCTCAGAAGAGGCAGATATATCCCAGAATGCTTTGCGGGGAGAGCTTTTCCTTTTAAAATGATGGCGACGGATTAACTCTGTTGATCGCACCCTGTGCAAATGATAATGATTTTGAATTGAAAAAGCTTCCTGGATGGGAAGCGAAACGTCTTCCAACTTGGGAAAAAAAGTCCAGTGGATTGTTTTTAATTTTCTTTTTTTTGAAATTTCCAACCTGATGTTTCTCCTTTGTATGGATCCAGGGGTAAAGAGCCACGGCTGCGACAAATGCGGCAAATCCTTCGCCAGGAAGGACATGCTGAAGGAGCACCTCAGGGTTCACGACGACAACCGGGACTACCTGTGTGCCGAGTGTGGCAAAGGTTTGCTCCTTCCTGCTGCTCCACGCTAAGCTAACGATCCCTTCAGACTGTTTTAATCATGTCTGTTGATAGGAATGAAAACCAAACACGCTCTGAGGCACCACATGAAGCTGCACAAAGGCATCAAAGAGTACGAGTGTAAAGAATGTAACCGCAAGTTTGCCCAAAAGGTCAACATGCTGAAACACTACAAGAGACACACAGGTGGGCGGGGCTGTTTCCAGCTTTATTTACCATCAAAGCTGGATTAAAAAAAAAACTAATGAAGATAGGAAGGATGAGGATTCATCCCTGCGTTCATCTTTAAACTGCTTTGTTTGCAGGTGTTAAGGACTTCATGTGTGAATTATGTGGAAAGACGTTCAGTGAGAGGACGACCTTAGAGACTCACAAGCTCATCCACACAGGTGAGACAGGAACAGGATTTATTCTCAGGATTTAAAGCTAAGCTGGGTTTTCATTTCAAATTTTAGGCCACTAAAAATGACATAGAAAGCAGATATTATTTGCATGACATTAACTAAATGTTTGCCTTGATGTTCTAACTAAGTGGCAAATCAGCAATCTGCTTACAGAAGTCCCCAACCATACCGATTCACATTTTGACTGATACAAATATAATATTCAGGAGATCGCAACACCTTTAATGTTTTAATGCCCTTTTATTAAAAAACAAATCATGTTTTAACTGCATATGAGATGATGCTCTATATAAAAACAGTTTAGAGTTTGACAAAAGCTGATTTTCATCGGCTTAAATCAATCGACTGATCACTAATGAAGCTGCAGCCCTGTTTTTTCTCACCATTTAAACAACGTAAGGGTTCATCATCATCTCATGGCTCAGAATCCTGTGGACAATGTTTATGGTTCGTTCTTTGGTTTTTTCGTTTCAAAACAAAAATGAAAAAACAAAACAAGCGTGTGGTTTTTCTGTTTTTCCGTTTTTAAAACCTAAGTCGAAAAAATGAAAAATCGAATGAATAGAAAATCAACAGCGTTTGAGTTTAATTTTGCCATCTAAATGAAAATAAAATACGGTTGTTGTTCTAATATGTAGCGGTACCAGAAATGAAGTAAGTCGCCAAAGAAAAATCATTCACAGTGGATGAAGACGGCATCAAAACAAACCATTTCTAAACAAAAGGCAATGGCTGCACTTGAACCGTTTTCTGCATTGATTATCAAACTTTTTGAGAGAGGAAAAACACTCTGAAATCAGTGATGCTTTGAGCCGCAATGGAGCTCCACATTACTCGGCAATGAGTGTCAGAAGGTTTTGTATGGAGCACAACTTGCGAAGACACAACAATGTGTCGGACGACGATTTGGAACTTGGAATATTAAAGAGATCTTGTTGACGGTCAGATCATTAGCTCTCAATGAAATGTGCCGATTCCCTCTAAATAACACAAATGTTTCCATTTTGGTAGTGCTAACTGAAAAAGTTCTCCTTCTTGTGGATTGTAATGGCGGTTGGCAAGAAATTGAAGGCGTACATTACCGCCACCTACTGGTAACTAAAAAAAAAGGTCAGTTGAATTAACAACAAAATAAAAGTTTGTCTTTGGTTTAACCATTGCAGGTAAAAAACAAAACAAAATGTACCCTTTTTTCATTTTTGCAAATGCCGTTTTTCTAATTTCGTTTTAAAAACGGAAAAAACAAAAAACCACATGCTTATTTTGTTTTTTCGTTTTTGTTTTGAAACGAAAAAACCAAAGAACGAACCATACACGGATTTTTGTCCATCTACACCGGTTCTGATCGGATCCTCAGCAGAAAGATCTAAAGTTTTTTTTCATGAATAATTTGAAAATTTGTATCATAAAAGTTTTTACATCTAAGTTGTAATCTGGTAGTTTTCTGAGGAATCGATGTCCCTCATGTGTTCAGGCGGTTCTTCAGGATCATGATCCTACTTTCACATATTCTGTAGCTGTTCTGAGCAGCAGACCCTGCAGCGCTGGGAACAGCCAGCGATGGCTCCCTGCAGCCTGCCAGGCTCTCGGGGATTCCCCACTAATGTTCTTAGATGCTGGAATTACATCTAAGCATTTTTTAGTTAAAAACATCCAATTACCAGAATATAAGATCAATAATAATAATTAAATCATTGAACTTTGTTGATCTCACACTGGAGAAATCTACCTCTACAGGTCCTTCTCAAAATATCAGCATATTGTGATAAAGAGGAATTTTGGGTTTTCATGAGCTGTATACTAAAATCATCCGTATTAAGACAATAAAAGACATGAAATATTTTAACTAGTGTGCAATGAATCTAAAATATGATTGTTCAAGTTTTATCATTATATTATGGAAAATAATGAATTTTATCACATTATTTTTAAGAAGGACCTGTACATTTAACCCATCCCTTGGAGAGCAGTGGGCTGCCATTGTGGGGCGCCCAGGGAGCAGTGTATATGTGAGACCCAGAGAGGCAGTCTGTGGGAGTGGGGCTCAAACTCAGAACCTCAGGATTCCTGTCTATGCCCCCACCATTAGGTCACCACTCCCTCAATGATATTAAACCAGCAAGTTTTTAATTTTGATATTTATGTTGGTATTTCTAAACTGTTTAACCACCGTCCAATGATTAAATATTTTAGTGCGGCAATCTGAGCAATTTTACATGTATTTTTTATTAATCAGATCAGAAGATGTTTTCTATAGATGTTTATATTTTCAAACCCAAACCTGTTGGAGGCTTTTCTTCGTCCGTTTTCCTTGGTAGTTAAACTATCCTAGATTTGGTCTGCAAACAATCCAGACCAAACATAGCGGCGTTGATGCTAACATGCAAACCTCGCAGGTGCATCAGGCAGGAATTAACCGTAGCTGGATTCCGCTTTAGCTGGATTTCCCAGAGGTTCCTAAAATGAATCTAAAAGACTTCGAGAATCCAGATAAAGTTAGATGAACCAGTAATTGATGCTGCACTGGAAAAAAATCGAAATCTAGATTAGTAATTTTTTCTTTTCTTAAAATAAGTAAATTTTTCTTGAATTGAGGAGGTAAGTGAGACACTTTGCCAATTGAACCAGGATATTTAAATTTAAAATAAGAAATAGTCTTATTTCAAGTGAGTATTATCTATCTTATTTTAAGAGTAAAAATCTTCATTCCATTGGCAAAAAAATCTTATTTACCTGCTTAAATTAATGGTAGATACACCTAATTTAAGACATTTTGACTTATTTCTAGATCGTTTTTCCATTTTGGATAAAGCTCTGAAAAAAACTCTTTTTAGCTTGATGCTAACTTTAGCTCTTTTTAAAAATCATTATCCTGATAAGAAATAATATAAAATGTTGATTTTATTAAATTACGCTGAATATTTTTCACTAGATAAAAAAAAATGATCTGAAATGATCTTTGATGCTGGTAACTATTTAACATCCAACAGAAAATAAAGGGGGCACATGATTATTTGCTTGTATCCATAGAGACGCCATCCTTTATCGGATTCCTTTATAAAAATGTGCCGATTTGTTTATAGAACTGTGGTGGGAGTTAAAGACCATGGGAACAAAGGTTCCCAATCAATCCAACTGATTCTCATCGATTGCTTATTGATCGGTGCCTCTTCAAACCGGCTTAAAATGTCCGCTCCTTTAGTTTGTTTCATGTCTCGTTTTTTTCCCTCGCTTCAGTGGGAAAGACGTGGAAATGTGAACACTGCGATAAGAAGTACCTGACAGAATACATGCTGCAGAAGCACATTCACCTGACCCACGAGAAGGTGGAGGCCCAGTCCTGTCAGTTGTGTGGGACCAAGGTGTCGACCCGCGCTTCCATGAACCGCCACCTGCGTCGCAAACACCCAGAGGTAAGCCTGGGCCGCCGCGGCTCTCTAGCCTCTAACCACTCGCTGACGTTGTCCTTCTGCCCTTCGCCTTACAGCTGGCTCCTGTGAGATTCGACGAGTTTGATGATCTTCAGGAAAACTCAGGCGTCAGTAATTCATCCATCAGTATCGAACAGGTTTGTTCACCTTTTAGTTTGCAGTCAGAACCCTGCCCAAAGAGTCCTCAAGTAATAGATGCTGTTAGGAGCGGTTTGATTTAAAACGCACACATAAACTGATCCCCACCTTCATTTTTAATGATTAAAGTCGTAGGGAAGCGGCTGTTCCAAACGTTGCATTTCCGAATTCTCCCGAGTGGTGCCCGACTTTACACGAGTGCATAAAGTGAATGTCATTGGTCGTTTATCAAGGGGGCGGGACTGTTGTGGCGGAAGGTCAGCAAGCAAGTTTGATTGTGACCAGTTTGTCGGAAGCATCTTTGACGAACTTCGTCGGAAGCGTTCCTTAACAGCGTCGTTTCTAAGTCACCAATTTAGTGCTACTTGGTCCCAATGGAATTTCCCAGTGGGAACCTGCTAGCACTAAGTTGCTAACTGGTTAGCAAGATGCTTCAGAGAGAATGGCCACAACCAAACTTCCTTCCGCCACAACAATCCCGCCCCCTTGATAAACAACCAATCACATTCACTTTATTCACTTGTGTAAAGTCGTGCACCACTCGGGAGAATTCAGAGATGCAAAGAAACGGACGCTTTCCTACGACTTTAAGGCTGATTTATTACTCAGATACCAGGTCGTCTTCGCGTGTGTCGCAGTGAATGCAAATGTACCCCCGCCCCTTCCGCAGAGACTCTGGTGCACCTCTCGCAAACTGTAGGTGACCGCAGACAGTGAGGAGGCCTCTGATTGGTCAAATCTACATCCGCTCTACACTATGTGAATTTCCTGTTTGGAACCTTTCCAACTTGTTTCGTTTGTATGACCACCATTGTGGAAAACGACTTGTGAAGACGGACCAGCTAGAAGATCAAGGTGCGTGAGAACGCTGGGACCCTTTTTCCACCTGGATCCCCACTCTTTTTCACCATCATGTCCCTCCATTGTCACACTAACTTGCCCCCACTTCCTCACCGCCTCGGCCGTATCTAGACCCACAGCTAGTTGCTGATTGTCCCTCTGGCGTTGTGGCGTAGAATAACATAGCGCAGACCACGCTTCGATATTGAGCATAAATAAAAAATATCTGCAACAAGCTCACTGCGACACACTGCGGGAGGATAACCAGCCCTTTACAGTTTACTGATCTCAGTGCTCCCCACCACCAGTTACAACTTAAAAAGCCTCTTGGCAAAATGTCTTCTAAAAAACTTCACACCCAGTTGCCTAAACTGAACTTTTAAAGCCCAAACTCAGAAAGTAAACTGTCTGTAATTGGCGGCTTTTCTGGCCTTTTGAGTTTCTACTTTTCTCCTCCTGTTTAGGGCCATTTTGGTTTCCTATATATAGTGACTTTTCTGACCCCTCTGACAACTTGTTATTCTTAAAAAAGAGGCGTTCCTCTAAACACACTAAAAAATGTCATAAATCTAGCGTTGTACAAGGTTGTTGCAGTGAAGTAGAATGACGTGTGGGCGCGGTCAGAAGGGTGATCAATAAAACATGTTTCTGTCCTGTGATAAACTGAGAACAGACTTTTTAACGGTCTTTAATTCATGATGTGCTTCAGCGCAGGAACATTAAGTAATTATTAAATCATGAAATAATCATTTTCACCTCTTAAAATAAAACCTATATTTAACTGAGGCCCATATAATTGTGTGTGTGTGTGTGTGTGTGCCTGTCTAGCCCTCATAGTGAGGACCATTTTTCCAATTTCACCATCAAATCGAGGACCAGTTGTTGCAAAGTGAGGACATTTTGCTGGTCCTCACATGCTACTTTGCTAATGGTTAGGTTTAGAGCTAAGGTGTCAATTGGTTAGGGTTAGGGGTGTGCATTGGTAATGGTTAGGTTTAGGGTTAGTTTTAGGGTTAGGGGCATAGAAAGGGTTAAAAATGACTGTAAATTAATGGAAGTCAATGGGAGTTAACACATGTGTCTCACTACATTCTCAGTACTGCGGTAAAGCACTATGGCAGAACGAGTAGGGGTGTGTGTGTGTGTGTGTGTGTGTGTAACTTGCATGCATGCATGTATTTATTAAATAAATTATTTATTTCCACATTTAATAAATTAATGCCAGATGTAAATAATTATTGTATAAATCATTTATTTATGGTATTGTTGCAGTCATCACCCTCTGTAGTTTATTTGTGTGTTATAAATAAAATGTGGCCTTCTGGCAGAGTTCTGATGGTGTGTAATATCCTAACTGTTCTGATGGATGTGTGCGGCTTAAAGGCCCAGACTTAAAGCGTACTCTGTCCCTGTGATGCTAGCCCACCCTGTCCTTAGAGAAGGACAGCGTGCCCCCAGAGAAGCCGCTCCGACCCCCCCGGCACTCCAAGAAGAGGCAGAGAGTCGCGGTGGAGCCGGAGCTCTCGGAGTCCGACGACTACGCCGACTTCACCGAGCAGAGGCACACGGATATGTCTGAGTTTAACACCGTCATCGTTGGTGATGAAACGGAAACCAGCTCTGCTGTGCAGAGCATCCAGCAGGTAGGCCAGCTTAACCCTTCATTTCATCTGAAGGAGGAGCTCACTGCTCATTACTGCTGATTGTTTTCATCCAGAGAATAAAAACCTGGAGGATTGCTCCTCATTGGGATGTCGCCAAAAAATTATTAGTCAAATCCAGAATGTTTAACTGATTAAAAAAGGAATTCCAAACTGGTAACTCTAGAGGACAAATATTTAATTTCTATTAGAAATGCCTTGATTTTCCCGTGTGCCACCAGGGGGCGCATTACGGTATTAAAAAAATGGCTGGGCTAATTCCTGTCTCCAGGTTGGGATGGGGGGGTCCATTATGCAACTAAACAGATGTTTTTTTCCAGCTGAGCTGATGAATTAGACGCCAGCTCACCTGGACAGAGGCGACGCTGCTCTAATGAATCTGACCTTTTGTTTCAGGTGGTGGTCCTGGCAGACCCCAACGCCCCATCAGTCCCCTCCGCCAGCAGCTCGGTCGGACTGACCAACATCACCGTCACCCCGATCACCAGCCAAGCCCAGTTCACCAGCCTGCAGCCGGTGGCCGTGGGCCACCTGACCGCCACCGACCGCCCGCTCACCTTGGACAACTCCATCCTCACCGTCACCTTCGACACGGTCAGCGGCTCCGCCATGCTCCACAACCGACCCACCGAACTCATCCCAGAGACGGTGGGCCCCAGCGGCGCCCCGGCGCCCCAGTCTGTCGCACATTTCATCAACCTCACCACTCTGGTTAACCCCATCAGCCACCAGCTGGAGGCGCCCGCTCTGGCCTGGAGGCAGGTACCGGTGCCTGAAGGCAGCCAGGTGACCCACATGGCTGGGGAGACTGAGGGGGGCCATAACCAGGGTCCAGATCCGGGCCAGAGCAGCCAGGCTGCCTCCCAGCAGCAGCAGAGCGGCTCGGCTCAGCAGATGTTCGGCTACTGAGCCCATCCTGGAGGTGCAGGTCGCCTCACACCCAGACTCTGCCGCACAGAAGATGGAAATCCTTCTTTTCTGTAACACACCGCTGTCCGTCAGATGCCTCTCCTGTCCGGTGGAAGTTCAAGCTTTTGGTTTCCTTTTAATTCTGACAGAGCCATGCAGCTGCTAATCAAGCATGTGAGAAACGGTACGACGGGCCAGAATCCCTGACAGTGGAAACCAAAGCTGACCCCTCAGACATCCAGCCTTATAAAGCATGCCTGTGGTTCACGTAAATGTATGAAAAATGTTTCAAAAGAAAGAACTTTATGTTAAAGTTTACTGATGAAATCTTATTTTTCTGATCCATGTAAACTGTGGTCTTTGTTTTTCTAAAAGAAAGTTGTTTTTCTGTTTTTCATTTCTGTTTTTCTGGAGCTGTCAAATTCACGAACTCTGCACCAAAGCTTTTCACTTTGCACCGATTTCACAGGAAATTAACATTTTATTTTAAATAAATAGGTGAAAACAAGGATTATATGGGACAGGTGTCCTCCCATTTGGCATAGAGAGGACATTATGTTCAACTCGATGACTGAAAACCAGAATCCTCATCACTCAATTCAGTTTATTTACATATCGCCGATGCACACATCATCTTAGGGCACTTTACAGAGACAGTTCAATCACTTCGATCAGTTAAAAGTTTTCTGTCTAAAGAAACCCAGCTGATTGTATCGACTCATTTACTCCACAGCAATCCCTCACAACAGTGTTTTCGTCAACGATGATGAAATTATTTCAATGCCCCATTTTTTTTATGACGATAACGAAAACTGACAAGCTAAACGTCAATCTTTGATGAAAAAAACATGTTGAGTCATAGGTGTGAGATTTCGTTGTTGGGACGTAACTATATAGAAATGTTTGGGGGTGTTCTGTCACATTTAAAAAGCATCCTTGTGCTGTACTCTGCTTAGCAGTATCAGCAGAGCTGCGGCGTCCTGTTTGGTCACGCCGCCCGCCTGGCGTTCAGCGGTGCACTTTCTGCATGACCACAGGTGGATCATGGCAGCAGCGGCTGGGATGAAAATAATCTGGAATGGTGCGGTGCTGTGCACTGAACTCTGACAAACCGTTTGTGCTTGTGCAAAAAATGCATCTTTGCACACGCTAGCTTGGAGTCCACTCTGATGGTTCGCTCTGAGCAGTATGGCTCTTCCTGCCCTCGCTACCTAATAAACTATATGTGGCTGATCATCCTCTGCTAAGCATAAAAAAAACCAGCTCACAAGAGGTGATGCTAAACATTTCTACCAAAAGGAATCCCTTAATTATATACAAAGCAAATATTTCATTGCTTTCTGTTTATTTTTGGATAAAGATCCAGATGAAAAGGTACATCGTTAAATATTGTTTTTATTTCTATCTATTTTAATATTTCAACATTTTAGTTCACATATTGTTGACATGTAGGTCTGGATTGCCATGGCGTTACACGGCAATTATGTAGGTTCTCTTTTTTTATATCCAAACCCTGTGAATTTAAATCTACTTTGACCCCTTAGCAGCTGTAACCGAGGGGTGCATTTTTCAAAATAAAACCAAATTGCCAAAGTAGAAAGAAGAATGTTTTTTTACTTTGCTGTTTTGGAGCAATTAAGATTTTATTGATCTGTGTGTAATGCATAATTTATTGTAGATCAGGAAGTATTTGCTTTACGATGGAAAACTTATATGTCTAAAACCATTACTTCATTGTACATTTTGTTAGCTTGTCTGTCTGCTATATTAACCAATATGATGTGTTGAACTAGTAGAATCAGAGTTATAAACAACTATGTTAGTATCTAGGCAAGAGCTGTCAGTCTGCTAAAGAATCTGGTTGTTATTCGAAAATTGTAAAGTTAACTGTTTTATGAAGTGCAACATAAAACTGACTAAAACCGACTAAAACTATAAGATATAGTAATGACTAAAATATGACTAAAACTGATAAGAGTTTTCGTCTTTAGGACTTAGGATCTGAAGACGAAGTTAGGATCCTAACTTCAGGATCTAAGATGGCGGTCAAAAACAACACTGCCTCGCACCAAGCATGCTTGCAGAAACAGTGGAGGGAAAAAACTCCCTTTTAACGGTAAGAATCCTCCAGCAGAATCATGCTCTGCGTGATTATTCATCTGCTGAGAATGACTGGGGTCGAAGGAGACAGACAGACATGAAATCGAAGAGCGAAGCACTGATGT